AGAACAGGGCCTACACTGGAGACTGGCCTTGGCTGGGCGTTCCTTTCCCAGGTCGCAGTGTGACTTCAGGGATGAGTGACCACAAGGACAAGGCTCGGTACAACAAGGGCACTGTGCCATGTGGACACACATCCTCATCCACAGGCATCTCCTGAGTATGCACTAGGCGCCCGGCACTCTTCCCAGGAGATGATGAGAAATGGAACGCAGTCCCCATCCAGAGCTCCAGTCCACTGCAAAAGGGACACACTGCCAGTGACAAGGCCCTAGACCTGCTGCCAGGCTGTCCCCTCCAGAAGCCCTTGAGGTCACACACAGACGAGCACGGCTCTCCTCAGCAGCCGCACCGCCCAGGCAACTGCCCACTTGGGGCTGGAAACGAGGGGAGGCCGAGAGGCGGCCGCCTTGCCAGGACAGCCCTCCTTGGCCGGCCACCGACGGAAAGTGCAACAATTGGCAGGCGTCCCGGCGAGCGGCCTGAACAAGCAGAGAGCGCGGCGGGCTGGGGAGGGCGCAGCGCAGATGGAGCCGGCATGGCTGCCACCAAGCCTTCTCTGGGCGGGAGGGGTAAAGAAACGAAGGGGCGCCACTCACGCACAGGAGTGGAGAGGCAGACCCGAGCCCTCCCCTCCCCCGGCCTCTGTTGGTCCTGGGGCAGGGCCCTGGCCTTGGCTAACACGTCAGCCCTCCACTCCCACTCTCTTTGGGTCACCGCGGAGGCATTTATGAACTGAGAAGACCCCGCAGGTGAATGGTGGGTCTCTGGCCTCTCACGGTCGGTCGCGGCAAGAGAGCCTGGAGCTCAGCACGGCCCCGGAGCCACGTCCCTGTGCCTGGGCAGCCCAGTTAACTCGGCGGGCCCAGAGGCTGCTGGGAGGCACCTGGGCGGCTGCCCCAGCCCCCGGCCCCCGGCCCCCGGCAGCAGCAGCAGGGGACAGAGGCCTCACTCTCCCGGGAGGAGCTGTGGGGCTGGCACACAGGCACCGTGCAGTTCCCAGCTGGTGGCCGGGGTACAGGGAGCTGCCCCCGACCGGGGGCTAGAGCACCGGGCCTCGGGCGGCAGGTCCGATCCAGCCCAGGCGTGGGTGGGCATCCGGGGAGCCAGGGCCCCCACCCAAGGCCCCCGGCGCTCTGGCAGGCAGCTGCAGCCTCTGACTTTCTATGAACGGAGAGCTGGTCTGAGTTACATAACCGCCACTCCCCGCCCCGGCCTCCTGACTCGCCGGCTTGTCCATTCCTGGAAGGGGTCTCGGAGAAGGCGCGTCCACGGGCGGCACGGCCTGCGGGCTCCAGGGGGGGCCTGCCACTGTCCCCCCAACCCGCGTCCGATTGGCATGGGGCAGGAGAAACCCTCCGAGCCAGACTTCAAACACAAAAATCTAGATCAAGGATATATTTGGCTTTCCAAGCTAATCTGTACATCGGTTTGGTCTCCACTGACTCGTAACCCTTTGAGGAAAACTGGGCAACTACACATGGAAGGCAGGTGACTCTTACGTAACCCCAGACAGAAGCCCCAGGGTTCTGGAAGGCTCCGCGCTGCTGTGCCGGTCGGTTGGGTCGGGGCCTGCCATCCACGCACTTCGCCGTGACCCAGGGTGCTGCCTCGCCCACCTGCCCGGGCGTCCTCGGGTCTGCCACCCGGAGTCCGAGGACTCACCCCCAGCACCCTCTGCCAAAGGGTGCCCAGGTCAGGGGTGCCATCCAAGGGACCCCGGCCAGGAGGAGGCGGCAGCAGAGGGAAAGCAAGCTGGGCCCTCTCCAGGGACCAGAAGATGGACAGATGTCTCAGGGAGGCCTGAAGCTGCCTCAGCTCCTGAGCTGCCAACCCTGCTCCCTCCTCTTCGTTCCCCTCGACACAGAAAGGAAGAAAGCGGGTGATTAAAATGAATCAACAGAAGGGACAGGTTGGGAGGAGCCTGCCACTTCCTCCTCCACTTGGAGAGTGGGTCCCCTGGGTGGGGGGGGAGCACTTGAGGGTAAGGGGTGCACCCATGTGGTGGAAAGATCTGAGCTGCCTGCTAAAATGGCGATTCATTCCAACGTCATTGTCCCTGATAAGAACCCCGGCCATGACACTTCATGGCTCCCGGCTGCACACATGGGCGTGAGCAGGGCTCGCCAGGAGGGCCGTGTCTGTGGACAGGGCATCCGGCCGTTCTCCGAAGCCGCTGGAGGACTCTCCAGGCAGGGCTGCTGACAGCCGGCCCGCTGGGGCTCCCTGCGGCGAGGCGCCCCAGGCCCGGCGTGCGGGGGGGGCCGCGAGTGCCCTGTGAAAGTGTGCGGGTGATGTTGTCATGCCCTGCCCCCCCCCACCGCCGCCACATCCAGGGTCCCCCAGGCAGAAGGGGTCACAGAACCGTAGGGGAGAACAGACAGAGATGCCAAAGGACAGGAGGCAGCGGCGACTTTGGCGAGGCAGCGAACTCCCGAGGACAACTCGCAAAATCCAGGCACGCGCACAGCCCCTGAGAACGCAGCGCCTGGAGGTCTGCAGCCTCATCAGAAGGTGCTCACCTGGCAGCCTCGCTTAGAGCCCAGCTGCCTGCTGAGTAAGCACCGCCCCCCCAGCTGTCGTGGAGGTCCGCTCCGCTCCTCGCAGGGCACGCCCCTGGCCGCCTTCAGGCGACACCCGAAGCCGTGTTGTGGCAGGATCTTCAGAGCTTTGCTACAACCCGCCCCCCCTCCAAAAAAAGCATGAAAACAGCTCAGAAAGCCTCAGTCTGTTTACCCCTCTAGGAGGGAAGGGTTCCCTGCACAGCTCCGCTCGAAAACAGAAGAAAACACCAAGCCCCGGCTGTGTCTTGGAAACCAGAGGCGAGGGCCCCTCGCTCAGCTAACACCAGGCTCGTCTTCTGCTGCCTGGACCCCAGGTTCGGCGTCTTGCCTGTCACAGCCCGGCTCTGAGCCGGGCAGCAGCAGGCTTGGGGCTCACCTGGGAGCCGGGAAGGAGCAAGGGGGACGGGCAGACTTCAAGGAAAAAGTGCGTTTCGGGTGTCGGGCCGGGCACTCCTGGCTCTCAGGCACCCAGAGCTGCGCCCGGCGTGAGGCAGGGCACACAGACCCTGGGCCGGGCCTTCTCTCGGCCGGGGACGGCTCTCACACATGACAGAGCTCTCTCCTGTCAGCCTCCCAAATAGGTGACAGCTGGTCCTTAGAGACCCACTTACAGAAAATCTCTTGTGCTAACAGTGAAGGGAAAAAAACAAAAGGTCAAACTTCAAAATCAGCAACAGAACTATTTCCTGAAGCAAAACCCCAAGAAGAGCTCGCTTGGGGATGCTTGAGGGGAGCCGTGCTGGCGAGTTCTGAACCAACGGAGAGCTTCGCTTGGTGATCTGTACGCTCCTCTCCCCTTATCAAAATGTGCTCATCTCTCCATCCAGCAACTTCCTAATAAATTTTGTAAAAGGGTCGGTTCAAATACCTTGCAGGCAGTCAAAGTAATCAAGTGCCAGACAGCAGCTCAGGAGGTGCTCAGAGGTCGGCTGGGGACCCGCCAGGTCTTCCCGGGGTTCCAGGGGCCTGGGGCTCCCGCTGAGACACGAGGGCAGAGGGCAGGAGGCCGGATGGGTCGCCCGCAAAGCCTCCCATTGGGCCTGCGTCCAGCGCCTTATCTAGTCCGAGCACACGAACGGGTCCGGAGGATCCCCTGCCCAGCGCCGGCCGCCCCCCATTAACCCCTCGCAGCCCAGCCAGCGGCCAGGACCCGCCTCGCGGAGGAGGAGAGCTGCTCTCCAGAAAAAGGCCAATAATAACATTTGACAATTGTCACTGGCTGTTGTAAACAGTCTTTCCCCCCGGACCGGGGAAGCGTCTCCCGGGCCGAGACGGGCTAGAGAACACGGGCGAGCGTCGTCCCCTTTCGATTTCTCAAAATCAGGACGCGCACTCGCTCCTCCGGGGGCTCGCTCCCCCCGCGCAGGCCTGGCGGGGGGCGGGAGGGGGGGCGGCGGGGGCGGCTCGGGCGGCCGGGCGGCCGGCGGGCCGGCTTCCTCCCCATCGCGGGAGCGCAGTGCATCCCAGTGGACGAACTCGGGAACCGCACGCCGGTTCTCTCCGCCTCCGCCTGCGTCCTCCCGGCTCTCGCGGGCAACCTGGGACCCAAACGCACGGGCTCCACGGAGCCCCCCGGCAGGAGGGTGGGCACTCGGAGGGAGCCTGCCCCGCGGGGGTACGACCGGGCCCTTCCGAGCGCTCAGCGGCCTGAGGCAGGCGCTGAAGCTCGAGCTCCAACGCAGGCGGGCAAAGTTTGCAAAAAAGGGGCTTCCCGGGTACCCCCCACAGCGGGCTCCAGGCTCGGAGCCCCATTCCAGCGGGCCCCGGATTCGGAGACACAGACAAGCCCTGGGGCGCTCCCACGGGCGTTTCGGGATGTGGGTGGGGGTGCCTGCTGGAGCTCCCCCAGAGCCCCAGCGTCTCCTGCCCCAGCTGCCCGCCAGCTGTGCGCTCCCCTCGGGCCCAGAGGTCACCGACACACAGCTGGAGAGGCAGCTGGAAGCCCAGGAGGCCCCTGCTCAGCCCTGGAGCCCAGAGCAGGGGGGAAACGGGGTCAGGGGCTGTTTGGTTTTGCTTTCCTCCAACTCCGCCTGCCGAGCTCTCTCGCCCGGAGCGGGGAGCTCTGGCTTCCCCGGCAGCCCCGGTCCCCGCCCTGGGTCCACGGCCCGCCGCTCCCAGCGGCCGGCGCCTCGCTCCGGGCCCCGGGGAGGAGGCGCGCCGGGGCGGCCGGCCAGCACACTGCGCTGCTGACGCCGCGAGCCGCCGTCGCCCCTGCTCGGACCCCAGACGCGCGGAGCCCAGGAGAGCGGGCCGCTCCCCGCGGCGCCGCTGGGCTCGGAGCTCCAGACCGGCGCCCCGACCCGGCTCCCGGCGCACCCCGCTGGCCGCTCGCGGGCAGCGGGGAAGGAGTCCCTTTATTTGCAACACTGAGGAGAGCGCCCTTCCGCCCAGCCCGGCACCCACGCACCCACCCGCACCAGGGCGCTGGCCGGGTCGCTCACCTGAGTCCTAAAAGCTGTTGAATCCACATGGTCACGTTTCGGGGAGCGGAGCCTCAGACCTTGCTCGCCCCGGCCATCTGCGCGGCGCCCGATCCCGCTCGCTTTCGTCCCCCGGCGCCGGTCTCTGGCTCTCGGTCCGCCGCCGCCCGCCGCCCGCCGGCCGCGGGGCGCAGAGCGAGTCAGAGCGCGGCCGCGCGGGGCTCCATGCCGGCCGGCGCGCCGCCGCCGTTGGGGCGCATGGCTCAGGCTGGGCGGCCCGCGGGGGCGCACATCCTCCGGCCGAGGCGTGGGGCTCGCGGCCCCCTCTGGGGGAGACCCGGCGAAGGCAGCGGCGAGGCCCGCGGGGAAGGGGGAGGCTGGCCCGGGAGGGACGCACTCCCGCGCTGCAGTCGCTCAGCGAGGGTCGGAGGACCGGCGGCTTAGCTCTCCGGGGCGGCGAGGAGGGAGGCCGGGCACCGCCGCCGCGAACGGTGCGTCTCTAACCTCCAGTCGGAGCTCCGCGCCGAGGGGGCGGCGCGGTCCGGGGACAGGGGGGAGGCGCTGATTCGAGAGGACGCGGGTCCTCTCCGCGCGCCTCCGGGTCAGGAGGCTCTGCCGGGGCTCCGTCGCCGGTCAGCACCGCTCAAGTTGGCCGGGGGCTCCGTCTGAGCGCTCGCTCTGCAGACGGCCGCGGCGCCGGAGGCGGGCAGGAGGCGGGCACGGGAGGCGCGCGGGGCGAGGGCGCCGTGGAGCGCGGGGCGTGGGGACGCGCGGCGGCGGCGCGGCGCCGAGGAGGCGCGCGGGGATCCCGGGGCCCCGCTGCCCGCGCCCACCGCGCCCGCCGCAGAGCCGCCTCCCTCCGCGCGTCTGCCTCTCCCCGCACTTGCCCCCGCCTCCCCGAGCGGGTCCCAACTCCGCCCGCCCGGCCCGGCTCACGTCACCCGCTTCCCCGCCCCTCGAACTAGAGCCCGAGCCCCCTGTCCGGCCCCGGCTGCCGTTCTCCGCCTCGCCTCGCGGGGGCCCGACTCGCCGCGCAAGGCTCTGCCCGGCCCGGGCGACACCCGGCGGGCCCGGCCGCCCCTTGCTCATCCCCCGTTGGTCCGGGTCTCCACCTTGGGAAAGGCCCGAGAGAGGCCGTGGGCTCCGATTGGACCGCCGGGCGCCTCCGGATGGTTGTTGCCACGGTAACCGGATGGTTTGCGAAGCAGTTCGAAGTTCCGACTCGGTGACGGGCGCGTCCAGTGGACCCGCAGAGCTGCTTTGGGGAAGGGGTGTTTCCCAGGCGGCACTTGGGGGGCGCATGGAGAGGGGCTGAGCGAAGTTTCCTCCAGATGGAGCTGCGCGAGGGGGCCACGCGGCAGCGTGTGGGAGGCGGGAGGATCCGCTACTCTGATTCTGTCTCTTCCCGCTGCCTGGGCCGCTGCCCAGGCCTCCGTGTCGGGCTCTGATGGAAGAAGACACCGCGTTCCTAGTCGGGGTGAAGGACCTTCTGCCCCAACCCAGCCCGAATACCCCCCCCCCCGCCCCCACCACCTCCTTATCAACAGTCCCCCGCGGAGAGTTGGGCAAGCCCAGCTCACCCACCTGCTTCTGGACCAGGCCCTGGCTCCGCAGGGCACCCTGGAGAGTCCCAGGGCCTGGCCTTCCAGACTTGACGCCTAGCACCGCGCCAGTGGGCCAGCTTCCCCCCTTTCCCAGGACTTCCCAGGGCCGCCCGGCTGGGCTGCACTTGCAAGACAGTGACTGGCCGCGGGAAGATGCCCAGGGGCAGCCAGTTCCCCGAGAGAAGTGGCCGAACTCACCGTGAAGGGCCAGCCTGACGCCCGACTCCCAACTCCCGGAGACCCTTCGGACAAAGCCCTACTGTGCCCCCGCACGCCCGGCCATCGAGAGACATGCAGATCAGGGCCCTAGAAATCGGGGGCACAGTTGTTACCCTGAAAATGTAGGGTGGGGCTGTGGAGGGCAGGGGGAGGTCAACTCACAGGGGTCCGAAGCCTGCAGTGCCTCCCCGCTGCTACCCGGGGGAGCCAGCCCAGCGTGGCCGGGGCCCTGGAGGCCAGGCAGGCCCTCCCTCCCTGGGCCGTGACCCCGAAGCCCGGAGCGGTGCCTGCTGCCCAGCCAGGAGGGCTGACCGGCAGCCTGCCCCCCAGGAAGCTGCCGGAGGAAGGGCAGGAGCCCCGGCCTTCGCCCTGGCAGGCCAGCGGGCTAGCCGTGGGGGCCTGGGCAGGTTGTTGACCTCTCTGACCCTCGGTTTTGTCTTCTATGAAATGTTTTCTATGTTCCCTTCCACACAGGGATTCTTGGGGGGCTTAAGTGAGGCGGCCTGATCGCCCCCTCAGGCCTCCCCTGGAGGACAGACCCCTGTGAAGGAGGCAGGGGGGTCCTGGAACTGCTCGCTGGGCCCAGGGTGGCCAGGAGAGTGAGGCGGCCGCACGGCTGCCACCTAGCGGGAGCAAGTGGGAGTGCGGGCCCCAGGAGACCCTCCCACCGCCGGAATAACCCTGGGGGAGGCTGCCAACCACGCAGGCGGGGGCCCCACCTGCTCTGTGCCAGGGACCTGGGCGCAGCCTTGTGCCAGCCCGCGCACCCGCCTCAGAACGGTTTCGGTGCACTCCCTGAAACGCACTGGGGTAGTAGGAAGCCGATATTTTGGGATGCATTATGAACATTTTAATAAAACAAATTTTTGCTATGGCAATGTATGCTCTTTCTATCACTACATTAAGTAATTACTCAGCCACACCAAAAAGTACCCGAATTCCGGTGCTGAGAGGTGCAGCGGTAATACCCGGAGATGTCTGCCGACTCGGCCGCGGGGCAGGAAGAGTCCGACCGCCCCACACGGGCCACTGCGGCCGTCTCTTGCCCGCATCTTTAACGGAAGGGGCGTTAGGCTTCCGTCAGAGTTCGCAGAAATAGAGATCCTCCCCCGATTCCATGTGTAAAGACCCTTTGAATTCTATCCTCCTACCCTGGGGGCCCCCCACCCCAGGTGTGAACCCGGGCGAGCCAGGTAGTCAAGAGCAGCGACTGCTGAGGACAGACCCAGCGCTAAGCTCTGACAGTCAGGAGGACCTCAGAGACGGGGGGGTGGGGCGCGGGGGGTGGGGGGGCACCGCTGATGCTCCCCAGTGTGCCTGGCCTCTCTCATCGGCGGGGAGGGCGGAGCCCCGCCCCCCGCTCCCCGGCTGGAACGCCTGGCCGCCGGTCAGCCCACAGTGCGGCTCTCAGCCCCTGAGCGCCAGCAGCTCCGTCCAGGCCCCGCCAGAGAGCACCTCCTAGGATAGCGCTGTTATTTTTGGTCTTGATGAAAACATTGTCATTTGTTACATGCTGAAAAATGACAAAACCGCGACTTATATTTCACTGTGGCTCTAACTGTTCTCCTGCGCTTTGACAGCGTCTCAGGTGTGGGGCCGGTGCATTTTTCTTCTCTCCTGGGAATTAGGAGGGTGAGCGTGTCAACGCGAGCCCAGCTTGCAGGCTGTCTCGCACACACGCACAGCTGCAGCAGGTGCCGAAGGGAAGCTTCCAGATGTTGCTGCCGTGGGAAGATCTCTGGGTCCCCAGCCACCTCCTGTCCCACCCGTGGCGTGGCCCCCACTGGGCGAGACCTGCACCCTGGAACAGGATACCCCAGGCCTCCCTGAGCCCCTCCCCCCGCCCCGCCCTCATTTCCCAGCCGCGCAGTTAGTTGTCTGACCCGGCACGAGGGTCTTCCTCTCCGGAGCCATCACTCACAGACCCTGCTATTTCTAAGTCCCACCCAAAGCCAAATGAACCTGCCGTTGTTCATTTTTCTCCCAGGGAGGCAAATGTGTCGTAAGCACGGCATTTGATTAAGTAAATTTGTAATTTTAAGTGAACGGGGAAAATGCTGATTAAAATGATCACATGTCCCTTCCAAGCAGTCACCGTGGGAGCCTCCTTGCCCACCGCCCCCCCCCCCGCCAGTAAAACTTGCCCGTGGTGCTGGGGGAGGGGTGGGGCAAGAACTTGGACACTTCCCCTCCCTTCTTCCAGAAGGCCCAGCGCCCAGACGCCGGAGTTCCTCCCCTGCACCTGAGCGGCTCCCAGGCCAGGCTGCCCAGGGCTGCCAGCCGCACCCCGCCCCCCACGCCAGGCTGAGCACCGAGTCAGGCCGCAGAATCCGAGGCTGGAGAGAGAAGCTGAGAAGCCCCCCCACCCCAAACACACACAGGCAAAATGGCACGCAGGACAATAGTGCTCCTCAGCCGGGGCTGGCAGGAGAACACGCGCGCGATCTCCTGTCCGCTCCCTCCTGCCCGCTCAAGGACACAAGCGAGTCAGAAAGAGAGAGGCGGCCCTGCGCGTGCTCCGGGCAGGCGGCATTCTCTCAGGGCTGGAGCCAGGGGGCTGCTGGCCTGGCCGGGGCGCGGACGGAGCCCTCATTTCCGGCCTTTGTAGGGCTCTCGGTGCTGATCGGTTTTCCTCTTCTGTTTACATGGGAGGAGATCAGGCTCGTTTGCAATGCAAAAGAGAGTGACATCCTTTGCACACAGTCCCCCACGTGGCAGGTCAGAGGTTTGGGCGTGGAGCTGGGGAGAGGTCCAGAGGGCAGACAGGCAGGCAGGGGAGCGGGGCGGGCCGCCGCCGCAGGCCCGGGCCAGTCCCTGCCTTTTGTCCTAACGTGGCGGGGCCAGCCTGAGGCCGAGTCCTATGCCTAGGCTGCGCCCCAGCGCAGTGGTGCTATTGTCAAAGGTGGACGGTTGGTCCCCTGTGGGGCAGGTGGGGTGAGGGGGGCAACTGTGGAGTGGGTAGACAGGGCGAGCAACAGGGACAAGGTGACTGACCAACTGGAAAAGGATGCAGGAACATTTTCTCCCTCCCGTGGCTGCCGGAAGAGCCGCCTGGGGTGAGGAGGCAGCGCGGGAAGGGGCGCCGGCCTTCAGGGAGGCTCGGCAGGGGCTCTGGGCCCCTTGCTTGAGCACCGATGACTGGGGTACCTGACAAGGGGAACACGGGGACAGAGAGGAGCCAGGCCCAGGCTGCCCACCTGATGGTGCAAGGGGCCCAGGGTGAGAATGGCTGGCAGCCAGGGGCCTGGCTCCGGGTGGCTGGACCGGGCGGAGGACCCCTCCTCTTACACCTGAGCCCAAGGGTGTGCAGAAAGTTCCA